TCAGGGGTCCAAGATTATCTTCTGTGTCTGTGTTAATTGGTTTCCCTTTTCTTTGTTGAAGAATGTCTGTGCAATCCTTCTGCCTAGTCCGACATCTTGCCGGAAATCCTCTATATTTTTCATTTTTTTTATAATGGTAATAGTCTTTTATAAATGCTTATTTGAAAATTGATGTGGTATGTATTCTTAGGGATAGAAATTATATCCCTTAATTTGGTTAATTTTTCAATTAGCAAAAATTACTTAAAATTGCCATTTTTAATACAAAAATTTTAATACAAAATCCTCTTTCAACACATAAGTAACATGTTATCTACAGCATGAAAAGAGAGGAAATTGTGTTCCTAGTTATACCATGTTTTAAATGGGGCTGAACTCCAAAATATAAATTATTAAAGAGAGCAGTTATTTTTTTTTCCCCTAAATAATGCAAAGTAAATATATTTGAAACCATCTTCTCTTCATACCCCTCTTCATTTCTGGGGTATGTCCACACTGGAAAACAACATTTATGAAAATGTATGAGGTCATTTCCTGTTATTTGTTTGATAAGAATCAGAGATTTTGTCTGTTACACATCTTTACTTAGCTGTCATATTGATTGTCTGAGTTTTACAAGTGAGTCATCACCGTGATTAAAATGATCACACAGACTGGAAACCATAATCCCACCCAGTTGTAAGAGAAAAAAATAAACTAAGTAGAATGTAACTTCTCAAAAGTAATTACATGAAAAAATTATTCCATTTGCCTTGTAAGGGAAAAACATTCAGTTACTTAATAGGCAGTAACTTGTTTTAGAGGTTTACATTGCATGTTAACATATTTGAAGCTATGAAAAATTCTTATTTTTTAAGTTGTAGAGAATTTATTTCAATATTACTTATATTTATTTAACCAGACATTCTTTTTTTCCCCTTGGAATATCTGGGAGAACTTTGAAGTTTTCCTCCACTGTGAAAACTGCATAAGTGAACATTGAAGTAAATCAGTCATCAGCAGCCTGATAATTTTGATTTTCAATTGAATTAAGAATGTGGAGCTAAAATATGTAATAACTGATACAAGCATCATTCTAGACATAGCAAAATTATTTATATAGAGGTGTGCTATCTCTCAATCTGCTGTGACTTAGTCATACTATAGGAGAGAGTCATATAGATACTCCATGGTAAGACAAGAACTACTGTGGTAGCTAGGTTGTAGGAGACATAAAATTCTATTTCTTGAGAGGCACAACCATATTTGTGTGCACATGAGTTATGCCAACTACAGGAAAAAAAAAAAAAAGCAAAAACAAACAAACTTGCTGCAGAGCTCATACTATTTGAAATGTTAACAATGAAAGAAAACTTGGACACCTTTGCATTGGGTAGGGCTTTGCTTCATTGCTAATGAAAATAATAAATGGAGAAAAAAATACAACCTGAAAACGGTTAGACTTATTACATCAGAGAAAGAATTCATGATTTAAGAACGCAAAGTAGAAAATGGCATATTACCGTATAACCCACTGGCAGACAATACTGGATTTAGAAGACTGTGGATAACGGGCAGCCTGGAAGGACCCAGAAAAGCCAGTTAACAAAAATCTTCCATCACACGCTGTGGCTGTGAAAACACGGCAATTAATATTAAACAAAAAGAATCTTGTATATGTGTCTCCAATGAAATGTAGCTCAGATTGACTACATGTGGAGTACATGCTAAAAATAAAAATTCTTTTGATTGTCATGATCTTTAGTTTTTAAAAATTGCTTTCCATATACTTAGATGCTTAGGTTTGTTGACATTATATTTTAAAAGAACGGCTCATAGAATGTGTCCTTTTTTGGATAGGTTTTAATTTCTCATATGTCACAAGCATTGATGGAGAGTAGGGAAAATAAAGAAATCTACCAAAATTAAATCCTTGGTCTTGGAATCTTAGCACTACAATAAATTAATCCCAAATGGAAGAATAGGAGAGCCTATTGTAACATTATTCACCCATTCTGATAAGTTTCAAAATACCAGCTATCGTATGGCATAAAATATTTCATATGAAGGAAAGAAAGCAATTGAAAGATTGAGCAGCACACACAAAAAATATTGTTAAAAATTCCATGTTTTTGGCTATCTTTTTGATATTTTTAATAATATTTTAAAAGCATAGACATTTTTACTTTGGCAAACTTTAAGATTCCAGTCTGAAAACAATGGCCTTGGAGTTGTGCTGGTGTATGATTGCACAGCCTGATACCCAGCAGGAAGAAAACCAATATGAAAGAAAAAGGAGCAAATTGAGAACAGAAAAAATAACAACACAAGAAGCAAAGATTAAATTCTGAACCATTTAGTACAGACTTCAGGAAACGAAATAGAGAAAACCATGTCTTGCTGAAAGAACAGAATCTCCTTATGTCCAATATTTCAGCAAACAAGGACAATAAAGTTTAATGTTTCATGATCTCAAGATAAACAGTCAAACTATGTGTTTTTGAAATGCAGAGATAAATAATTTTTTAGCTCTGAAAAGAAATCTCATTTCTCACACTAAATGACCAGATCACCAAAAAATATTCCAAATCAGGGGTTTGATTATTCATTCACTTCAATGGTGATAAAAGCAAAAATAAAGTGTTTTTAGATGGTTTATACAGCCTTATAATGACAGTTTGTCAAGAAACCATCTGGAGTCAAAGACTATAGTCATTCTAATAAAGACCAACTATTTGCTGTTATAAATAGTTTATGTTTAATTTATGATACTTAGAAAGAGATGAACTACAGCAGACCTATCCATCCTAAAATTTAACTGCTGGCATTATTGAATTGTTTACAATACCGCTGTTCTTTTAAAGTGATTATAAATATATATTAATATGACCCTCATAACAACCCTGTAAAGATACAGGTAGGAAAACTGAAGCATAACCAACCACTGCCTTGGAGTGGGATCCGACCCCTCCTAGGGTTTCCAAGACAGTATCACTGTGGAAGTAGATTGCCCTACCTTCCTTCGAGGAACTGAGGCAGAGAATGGTTGAGTAATCAGTCCAAGGTCTCTCAGTTCATATGTGACTATTCAGAGGCAGGTAGTATACTCCAGGACATGCTGTGCTAGGCTGCCCTAAAACTACAACATATAGAGCCTTCACAGTTGACACCACCCATTGTTTCAGCTATAAAGTAAGAGGAAAAAAAAAAAAAAAGCCTAAGTGAAAGCAAGAATCAGGAAATGAAATCAAAATTGAATCCCATTTTCCAATATCCTTAAAAGTAGAATATAGATCACATATTTATAGCATCCCACAATGAAGAGAAGTAATCAAAAAAGAAAATATAAAATGAAAAAAGGGAATGAAAAGAAACCCCATTAAGACTGTAAAATCTGTACGCAAAGCTGAGAAAATTTTAGTAAATCTTCATATATATTGATACATGTTTTTGGAAAAGATGTATTTTTGCTGGGCATCAGGATCAATGATTTTTTCAAAAGAAGCTGAACAGAGTTATGTCCCTGGTGATAGAGATTGTTCTAAATTTTCCAAACCCTGTTTCAGCTCTTTCTTAGGTACATGGCTAAACTACATTTCGCAGAAATCCTTGCAGTCAGATGGGCGCATGTGACTCAGTCTTGTCAAGAAATGACTGTGGAAATGATTTTCTTCAGTTTGACATGTGGTTTCTAAAAATATCTGTAATAGTCTTCCCTCATCTGCCACTGATTGCAAAAGACCTAGTGGGGAATTCTGGGGGAATAAGACTAGTGGAGAGGGAGCTCTGGTAGCATATTGCCTAAGGCACTTGACTGCTAACCAGAAGGCTGGCGGTTCAAACCCACCAGCCACTCCTCGGAAGGAAGATGGGGCAATCTACTTCCTTAGTGATACTGCTTCGGAAACCCAAGGAGGGGTCGCTATGAGTCAGGGCCGACTCCACGGCACATAACAACAACAACGACAATGAATTGATCTGTCTGTCCAGTTTTCTATGAAGTTGCTACATTTTAGTGGTAATGGAAAACTACAGGTCAAGTTCTGCTCGAAAACATCTCTTGAATTTCTGCATCCAAGCAAAGATGACAAGGAATATCCTTGAAGGCATTTAAAATAAAAGTACAAAAATACTGAAGTAATTATAGTAGTCAGGAGCTCTGGTAGCGTAGTGCCTAAGGCACTTGACTGCTGACCAGAAGGCTGGCGGTTCAAACCCACCAGCCACTCCTCAGAAGGAAGGTTGGACAATCTACTTCTGCAGTGATACCACCTCGGAAACCCAAGGAGAGATCGCTGTGAGTCGGGTCCGCTCGACAGCACATAACAACAACAAGTTATACTAGTCAAGTTAAGAATGTCAAAATAATATCATTTATAAGATTGTGTTAGGGGCTCTTTCATGAACTCTTTATTTTAATTTCAGGATGTTTCTGGAGAACCTAATTTTTTGTAAGGCAATGTGATACAGGATAGCTTTTCTGAACAACAACAACAAAACAAAACAGATATAATCCAGCCAAGGTTATGTAAGATTTCTGGTGTTCAGGCTTATGACTTTTTAGATGCACAGTGCTTTCCAGTGCATTATTAGGAAAAAAAAAAAGGAAAAGAAAAATTCTGAATGGGAGATAAATGGTTTGTCAGTTGCGCTATTACAAATGTTGCTTGTGATGAGAATGGAGTCTTCTCCCTTATGCGCTATAGACCCACTGAGAGCTCCCTCTGCTGGCTCAATGTTTGCTAATTGTGTATTTGCTTAGGGCACTGAATTCTCCAGAATATATAAATCAAACATGATCAATGCCCATCCACCAATGTCTATTGTGCACATACATATGAGGCATGCAAAAGGTCTATAGACAATTGCCGAATTCCAAACAAGACTTCATATAGGTCCAAAAGCTGAGTCAGCATCTTTTCTTCTCATAGGTCAGCTAAAAAGTGAACTTTCTTATTGATGCAATTCTAATCAGAAAAGAAAAACAATCTAAAGAAATCTTGTTTCAGCCACAGTCAGCTAAAAGTTGTGCAAGCCTGAATAAACGAAGACTAAAAAAGGAAGCTGCCTGAGGAAGTCAACATTAATGTGACTCTATTAATAACACAAACTTGAATTAGAGCTCACAGCTGGAGGGAAAAAAAAAAAAAAGAAAGAAAGAGAGTGAGTGAGCAAAGGTCAATTCATATAGAGATAATTCTTATAAATTAATTTCATGAATTTTTCTGTGAATATAGATTGATAGACATGGGCCTTCAGGTGGAAATTTGCTGGTAGGAGCTGAAGTCCACTATGTTCTTGGGCTCACCATCACCAATAATTAAGAGATGAATAAAACTATATTACTGAAGCTTAGCTGGATAAAAAGATTAATTGATTTTGTTTATTACCTTACTCCACAAAGAATTTAAATTTATTTACCAAAATAGAGGCAATGCTAACATGAAAAAACAAATGATGAAGAGAATGCTACTTTGAAGTGAGAATGGTGAGACTTTGTCTCATTTACTTAGGACATGTTATCAGGAGGGACCAATAACTGGAGAAAGGCATAGTAGAAGGTCAAGTGAAAAAGAGGAAGGTGCTCAATCAAAAATCAAAAGGATTGACACAGTGGCTACAACGGTGGGCTCAAACACAGCAATGAATGTGAAGATGGCACAGAGTGAGGCATTTTGTTCCGTTATACACAGTTGTTATGAGTTGGAACCAACTTGAAGGCAACCAACAACAAGAGGATCCCCCAACAAACAATGGGAAGGGAAGATCTTGAGACTTAAAAAGTTAATGCCATAGATGGTTAGTTGATACTAAGGTCTTATTAACATAAAATATCCATGATATTGAAGTGATAATACCTTCTGATTACATCTTTCAGGGAAATGTAGAAAATTAGTTCAGTTCTAATACTGAGTGAGGCTCGTGGTCATGAGTTTGTAGTGGCCTTGAAACTTATTTTCAGGTAGATTTACACACTTACATGAAATTTACATGGTTATTTTTTGATATTCACTGACTTTAATTCTTCAAGAAAATTTTGAGCTACCTTAGGGTAGAGACCACATAATTGATATGGTACATTTTTTGATTAATCGATTCACCAATGTATTAGCTATGACTTTTCCTACCATTTAAGGTTATAGTTTATTATCATCATTAACAGATTCAGAACCATGCATTTAACTTTGACCTGCAAAATGATTTTTGAAACAGAAATCAACATTACCTTTGTTACCTCATGATGGCACACTTGTATCACATTTTCCCTGAGAGATTTTGGGAACTGCCTTAAAACCATAGCAAAAAAAATTTTCTCTCTTCTTCTATGAGTAACTTAGTTATATAAAATAGATTAAAAGTATTCTGTAGCCTGCACTTTCTTCCAATATGCTCTGAGTGCACTTCAAAGTATGTAGTTAAACTTTGAAGGTTTGAATCTTATCCAAGAACATTTGAATTGGTATTTTTCAGTGAAAGCCTCTTTAGTCAAGTTGCCTTTTGTTGGATTGATACCAGGAAACAGACCAACTGTCTGTGTTTTAAAGTAGGTAACAAGTTGATAGGTAATTTTTTAAAACTCTGTTTGAAATTGGAACATTCACCTTCAATTAATATCAAGGAAGAAGAGCCAAGTGTATCAAATATACTACAGCCCTAAGGGTCAATGGCCAGAACAATATGATCAATTTAAAAAACGACCATAAGCCATACCAAGCTAATGTTCCATTCATGCTTTCTGCTTAATTTTTCAGGAACAAAATTATGTGTTAGTCCTTCACATTGTATATTGGTTTTTTTTTACACTTAGATGGTAATCTTTGTTTTTGTATGTATATTATACACAGAAACAAATTACCATTTTAGAAGCTGCTTTCTAATTTCCTAAATGGCACTTAGCCATTTAGGAGTTATAAGAAATAACTCAAAAAGTAAATTATTTTTAAATCAATTAGTGTCAAGTTTGGCATATTTATTTCTATTGTGTGCTGTTGGGTGGATTCTGATATCATGGCCATGGTATATAACAGAGAAGAACTACCCCATAGGGTTTCTTAGGGTGTATATAGGAGAAGATTGCAGGTCTTTTCTATCATGGAGCCACTGTGAATGTGGACCATAGACCTTTTGGTTAGCACACACTTAACCATTACACCACTAGGGCAGCCCCACTTGGCATATAATAAGTACCATATGACCTCATCATTATCATCATCATCATTATTATTATATCAGCACTCAACAATGATGCCAAAATTTAAATATAAACTTGGATGTTTTACTCATATGACCTTAAGATCTTATTCAGAGTTCATTTCTGTTAACATAAAGATGTACAACTCAAGAGCACTTTTTGACTGTTTGTTATTTCTGTGTCAAGAATGGAAAAAGAATAACAATCAAAAATAGGAAGTGCACTTCCTAATTAGGGACTAGTAAAATGCCAGAAAAGGACTAATATTTTAATGCAATGGTGAAAAAAACATTTAAGAAAGCATTTGTAAGAAGTGGGAATGTATATGTAAGAAGTCAAATTCATAATAGCCTAAAACAGTTTAATATAGAGATGAGATGAAAAATATGTTCCTCTTTTCTCCATTCATGATGGACATTGTTAATCACAGCATTCTTTACATTCCTTCCAGAGTCATCGAATGAAATTGCTAAAGATTAATATGGTTAATATTATGTTATAAAGTTTTAAAACATTATCATGTTTTATGCTTTGTATTAAATGATAAACATGGATATTGGAATATCTCATTTTTCAATAGTTTCAGAGGTGTGTGTGTGTGTTTTTGTGTGTATAAGCAATGAAGGAAAATGATAAAGAGGAAGGCGAGAGACAGGGAGAGATAGAGAAAGAGTGCAGGAGGAGAATGTGGAATATTATTTACCACAAATTTTATTGTCTTCATCTGAGCCATCAGGACAGTTTAATTCTCCATCGCAAAAGAATTCAGTGGCTATGCACTTTAAAGCATCTGCACAGGGTCTTGAACCAGGCAGACAGATTATTGAGACATTTCCTAAAAAAAAAAAAAAAAAAAAAAATTATAATCTTCCAGTAGATTAGATTTAACTTCTAACATTTCCAAAATGTTTGGTTACTAATAGTGTAGTGTTTTTTTTTTTTTTTTTTTCATTTACGTTCTTACTTACATTATATACTTAAAGATCCCAATAGAAATATTTTATTCAGTAACCAATAAATAGAAGCTGTAAGGACAAAAGGAAGTTAAATCAGTAATTAGAAAAATTCAGACTTTCTTGACCTCTATTTATAGTGATACCACTTATTGGTCCAGTTGTGAGGATTTTTGGATTTTTTAAATTGTTCATTTAACAAATATTTAGCAGATTCCTGTCAGAGGTCAGTCATCATAGTAGGCACCGGCTGCAGCTTAGAAAGACCATTCTGGCTGCAGTGTACAGAGGATAAGCTTGAAACTAAGAAAACTCAATTTCCTTGGAAGTATTTAGTTAATCGTTCTGGGAGGAAGTATTACACACAAATATTTATGGATTTCATTTAATGGAATATATTCTATCATAAAATATATAAAAAAAGAAAGAAAACTGTCATTTAAAATACATTTTCTATTCTAAATAGTTTATTAACTTCATCAAGCTTGCCACTTTTGCCAGCAGAACTGTTTTATGAACTAAAATAAAATTTGTGTTCACCAAAATAAGAGTGAGTTAGGCCAAACAAACTCCAAGTTGTTTGAGGTACAATTTTTATTTGCAAACATTTTATTTTGTAGGTACAATACTTTATGGCCTAAGAAAAAGTTGAAAAATAGGTTATATAAAAATTACTTTCCTCATGAAAAATTCTGAGGAAATTCAAGTCAACTTCAAGCTAAAATTTTGTGCAGACCATTGTGTCTTCATGACAAATTATAAAAATATTGAATTTTAAATTTTGGAAAAATTCATATATTTATTCATGTGTATTGAGTATTAATATCTACTTGGTTGATTTTAAACTTGATAAATGCATACTGCATTTTGGATGTTTATACTTCTTAAGGTATCATGGGGACCCAAATAATGGAAAGTTTATCACATTACCTGCATCGGCTAGTACCTATTAAAAATGTCTCAGTCACTCATAAATGCATTCATTTTTTTGAGAAAATATTGACTAAGATTTGCATTCTGAGGCAAAAAAAAAATTTGGTGAAATCGTTTTATAGTAACATAAACCATTTAAAATTGCAAGTGCATTTGTACATTTCTTCTTTGGACAAATCCAAAGATTGTTTCTATTCAATATTTTTCTCACTTCTTGGGTTAGGAATTTTTATGGTAAAAGATGCAAACACTTCCCCTGAAGGGTCATGTGCCATGCTCTAAACAGATAGCAACCATTTGCATCTTTATGTATATCTTGTCCTTCACTTGCTCTTTTCTCCATCTCAATAAATAGAGATTTACGAAGAAACACATCTTATTTCTAGGAATTAAATAGAAAATTTTAGAAGCAACTCTAAAGATAAGATATATTTTAATATACCCACAAGATAAAGGCATACATTTTTATTTTGCATATAAATGCGAAAATTTGAATATTTATTGTCTGTGACTAAAGTAACAATGATGGCTTAACATTTTCTGAAAGTTTTTTAAGCTCAATAGCATTTTTATTGGTCTTATTCTTAAAACCAGCACTGTACTGCCATCTGCTGGGTTTTAAAATTAAGATATTTCCTTCTAAAATTTCTCTTAAAACTCTTTCAAATTAGTGGTTAAAGCATTCGGCTGCTAACCAAAAGTTTGGCTAGTCAAACCCACCAGACGCTCCACAGGAGCAAGATGTGGAAATCTACTTCTGCAAAGATTTGCAGCCTTGGAAACCTTATGGGACAGTTCTACTCTATCCTATGTTGTTGTTGTTGTTATGTGCCGTCGAGTCAGCCCTGACTCATAGCGACCCCTCCTTGGGTTTCTGAGGCAGTATCACTACGGAAGTAGGATTGCCCAACCTTCCTTCCGAGGAGTGGCTGGTGGGTTTGAACCGCCAGCCATCTGGTTAGCAGTCAAGTGCCTTAGGCACTATGCTACCAGAGCTCCTACTTTATCCTATAGGGTCCCTGTAAGTCGGAATTGACATCATGGCAGTGTGTTTTTGTGTGTGTGTTTGTGTGTGTGTGCCTGTGCGTGTGTGCGTGCCAGTGAGTCTACTAAGGAAATACTAAAAATATGTATGGGTTAGGTTGCTGGGTATTAGAGTCTTTAGTAATAGGCACTAATAAAAATGTGTATAAACCATTGGGAAATTATGGAACACCTAACATCTAAATGAGCACAGAATAAAGATCAAAATCATTTCTAAATAACAGAATAATGTCTCCATTGAAAAGAATAAAAAGGATTATACAATGATATTTAATACACCCAAATTTGTATTTTAATTTCTGATATATATGAGAAAGTCCTGAGGAAATTCCTCAATTGAGTGCCTAATCCAGGAGAAGCATAGTTCATGATGTTGTTGTTAGGTGGCATCAAGTTGGCTTTGACTCATAGCAACCATACATACAACAGAGTGAAACACTGCCCAGTTGTTCTCCATCCCAAAACCCTTGCTATACTTGAGTCCACTGCAGCCACTGTACCAATCTATCTCATTGAGAGTCTTCCCCTTTATTTGCTGGCCCTCCACCTTACCAAGCATGTTATTGTTCTCCAGGGAATGGTCCCTTCTGACAACATGACCAAAGTCTGGCCATTCTTGCTTCCAAGGATCATTCAGCCTGCACTTCCTCCAGGAAAAATTTGTTTGTCCATGGTACTTTGAGTATTCTTTGCCAACATCACAATTCAAAAAGAATAACACTTCTTCAGTCTTCCTTATTCATTGTTCAGCCTTCACATGAGGTGGTTGAAAATACCATGGCTTGAATTAGTTGTACCTTACTATTAAAAGTGACATATTTGCTCTTAAACTTTAAAGAGATCTTTTGCAGCAGATTTTCCTAGTGCAATACAATGTCTGATTTTAACTGCTGCTTCCATGGGTGTTGATTGTGAATACAAGTAATATGAAATCTTTGACAACTTCAATCTTTTCTCCATTTATAGTGATGCCACTTACTGGTCCAGTTGTGAGGATTTTTGCTTTCCTTATGCAGAGGTATAATCCATACTGCAGATTATAGTTATTGGTCATCATCAGTAAGTGCTTTAAGACATCTTCACTTTCAGCAAGCAAGGTTGTGCTGTTTGCACATCATACGTTGTTATTGAGTCTTTCTCCAATTCTGAGGCCACGTTCTTCTTCATTTAGTATGGCGTCTTAGATTATTTGCTCAGCATAAAGATTGAATAAGTATGGTGAAAGGATACCACCCTGACCCACATTCTTCCTGATTTTAAACATGACCCACATTCTTCCTGATTTTAAACATAGTATCCCCTTGATCCCTTGATCTGTTCAAATGATAGCCTCTCTGTTTGTGTACATGTTCCCTCATGAGCACAAGTAAGTGTTCTGGAGTTCCCATTCTTCTCAATGTTATCCATAATTTGTTATGATACACACACTTGAATACTTTTGCATGCTTAATAAAACACAAGTAAACATCTTTCTGGTATTCTCTACTTTTGGCTACACTCCATCTAACATCAACAATGATATCCCTCATTCCATGTCCTCTTCTGAATCCAGCTTGCATTTCTGGAATTTCCCTGTCAATGTACTGCTGCAACCATTTTTTTAATTATCTTTAATAAAATTTTGCTTGCCTGTGATATTAATGATAACCAAAAGCCAAACCCACAGCCACAGAGTTGGTTTCATCTCATAGCAAACCTCATTGGGTTTCTGAGGGAGTAAATCTTTATGGAAGTAGATTTTCTCATTTTTCTTCTACAGAGTACCTGGTGGACTTGAACCAGCAACCTTCTAGTTAACAATCAAATGCCTTAGGCATAGTACCACCAGAGCTCCTTGATATTAATGATGGTTGATACTTTCCACATTCTATTTAATCACCTTTCTTTGAAATCATTTCAAATATGAATTCTTGTCAGTTGGACAGGTAGCTATCTTCCAAATTACTTGCTATAGATGAATAAGTGCCCCCAGTGTGGCATCCATTTGTTGAAACATCTCAACAGGTATTACATCAATCCCTGATGCCAATTCTTTCAATGTAGCTTAGAATTCTTCCTTCAGTGTAATTGGTTCTTGATCATAGGCCACCTCCAGAAATAGCTGAACATTGACCAACTCTTTTTTGTACTGTGACTCCATGTATTCCTTCCATCTTCATTTGATGCTTCCTGCATCAGTCAATATTTTGTCCATATAAACTCTCAATATTGCAATTCAGGGCTAGAATTTTTTCTTCAATTCTTTCAGCTTGAGAAATGCTGAGTGCTTTCTTCCCTTTTGGTTTCTAATTCCAAGTTTTTTTTATTCCCATTTCATTATAATAATTGACTTTTTCTTCTTGAGCTGCTCTTTGAAATCTGCTCAGCTCTTTCATCTTATCACTTTTTTTTTCCATTTGATTTAACTACTCTCTAATCAAGAGGAAGTTTCAAAGTCTCTTCTGTCATCCATTTTAGTCTTTTCTTCCTTTCTTTTTGTTTTTTCATGTATGATGTTCTTGATGTCATCCAATTAACAATTCCTCTGGTTTTCAGTCATTGGTATTCAATGCATCAAATCTATTTTTTCACATGGAATCTAAATTCAGGTGGCATATAATGAAGGTCATATTTTGGTTCTCGTGGACTTGTTTTAATTTTCTTCAACTTCAACCTGAACTTGCATATGAGCAGTTGACGGTCTGTTCCACAGTCAGATCTTGGTCTTGTTTTGACTAATGATAGTGAGCTTCTCCATCACTGCTTTCTGCAGATGTAGTGTATCTGATTCCTGTGCATTCCATCTGGCAATGTCCATGTATATAGGCACCATTTATGTTGTTGAAAAATGGTATTTGGAATGAGTAAGTCATTGGTCGGGAGCTCTGGTAGCATAGTTGCTAAGACACTTGCCTGCTAACCAGAC